TTCTTGGGTGGGGTGACGAAACAACTAAAAATATGATCAACGAGAGTTCATTGAATCTAGTTAACCCAATACAAAGAGATACTGCAACAATTCCCAAACTCGGGTAAATATTATAATTTGTTTTTTTTTTTTGTTAATTTGGATAAATATATGATGATCAATCTTTAGATGGTTAAAAATTCGATTTACCGTTGATAATCCTGGAGTATGGCCAATGCACTGTCATATTGACGTATGTATATATTTTTAAATTTTTGAATTGAAATTGCTATGATTATTTATTTTCTTTACACTCTTAGTGGCATCTATCAATTGGTATGCTTGCGCAATTTGTGGAATTTCCTAAAGCTGCGAGAGAAGCATTTGACAAAAAAGCTCCATTTGAATGGTGTGAATCTTGTACCGCAGCAAAAAATCCGACTCAATATTGCGCAAATAAAATAAGATAATACTGTATAACACAATGTTTCATTTTAAAAAGAATGTACTGTAATTTGAAATTTTACTAAATAAAAAAAAAATCACTTCAATGCTTTCTTCTGCATCTTTATTTAAATGAATCATAAAATTGTTAATACAAAAAAAAAAAATAAAAAAAGAGAAAGAAATAAATACAAATATAAACAAAAAATACAAAATAAAATAAAAATAAAAAATAATAACCAATCCATGTAATATAATTCGAAGAAAATAAAAATAAAAATTTCATCAATTATTAAAGGCTTTCTTGACCAATTGGTACCTCCCCTATTTTACAATCATACTTTATCCATCTGTTTAAAACATTTTTCCAAGTTGATGGCCATTGACTTCCTGTAGGAAAAACGTTATTCACAATATCATTGATAATATTTTTGTTTTTATCACCTTGTACATGCTTTTTCGCTTGATTTCGAACTTGTTCGTAGTCCATAATATCCACTTGATAATCTTCCTTGCCGAATTTTTGATCGCATACAGTGAACAAAGGTTTGATATTTTGATAAAAAGTTGGGATGAAATCATCGGGAAGTGTTTCAGGGAATTGATATCGTAATGGAGCATCTCTGATTTTTTTGCTGTAATCGGTAGCTGAAGGAACATCTCCCAGTAAACATTTGTTCTCACCATGACCATCTCCGTCCATCCACCTTTTAAACAGTCCAATCTGATAATCAGACCAAGGATCTCCCGGAGGCATTTCCTTACGAGACAATTTTATGTAAATCGGTTTGGCATTATCTTTCACGGAATCGTATGAAGAGAGATTTATATTCTTTGAAATCATGCAACGAGCATTATTTTCTGTGAATAATCCTCGAATATTTTGATGCCAAGTGATGGGACCTTCAGGTTCATCAAAAGGTCGACGAAAATTTTCACGATAAACCTTCAGATTAATATTATCTTCCGTCGAATCTTCCCATACTTCGGCCATAATTTAATATTATAAAGTATTTTTTTTTGTGTGTGTGTTTAAAGTTATGAAAACGACAGGACGGAAAGTAAAAATTTTTGTCTTCTTTTATATTGAAATTTTAATTAAATTCAAATTTTACAATCAAAGATATCTCAACTTATTGTTCTTTTTCGTACAACCTTGTACGACCCAATTACAAAGTAATAAGGATTTCTATTAAAAATACCAAAAAAGTTCAATGTGCGCCGTCTAATGTACATCAATCACTGCATGAAAGAAATGAATTTTCGCACGAGACTCCTTATTTACTTTATTGAGGGGATTTCGCTGGGGAAAAATAAGACGCTTACTGCGGGTAATGAACAGTTTATACACGTGTATTTTTAGTTTACGTCGTTATAAATGCTGTGTAAATTGTATTTGTAAGAATTTTAGAAATATTAAATCAAAGGTTATTCAAGTTTCGGTTACACCATGCACATTCTTTTAGCCATATAGTTTGAAAGCACATTCCAAATAAAAAAGAAAATTTCTTTGTAAAACTGTACATTCAAAAAAATAGCATCGTTCATTCAAATTTCCTTTTTATAAAGCTTATTAACATAATTTCATATCATCATGTTCCACCACATTGAAAATTCCTTTTAATTTATTGTTGTGAGAAAATCTGATGAACTTTTTTTTAAGAAAAAAGATTTTCTGCAACCTAACGCACAAAAAATTTAAAAAATATTTGTAACTTGTGACCAATGCACAATATGAGGTCATGATTATCATCTTTAATAAATATACATATACGGATTTTTAAAATCATTTTCCCGATTTAACTAAATTGGAGAGTCATTAATTATTTCAGGCACATTCTCACAGGTCTCCTTGTTTTCATTTAATCTAGAGACCATGACATGAATGGAAGCGGAATCATTTATTATTTATAAAGATTACGCAATTATTTGACACTTTAAGTTAAAATGTTTAAATCTCATGCAAGTTGGCTAATAACGAAAATTTGTATTTACCAATAAAATTGATATAATTCCTATCAAGTTTCTATTCTAGAAATACATTCCTACAATAACTTCATCGATACGTCTTTATATAATTTGACTCAATTCCATCGAATTAGGTATTTGGCATCTTTCAAACAGTTTTAAAGAAATTTGTAAACGTAAGCACGTATTGGTTTCTTACAATTATATGCAATTTGAATTACGAAAAGGTTTAGCAATATTATACATCCAAAGTTACTTTAAATCCAAAATTTTGCATAATTAAAGTTGAATGGTATGTACAGTTGAACCTCATTATAACGAATCTTCATTTTGGAGGTCATAATTCGTTATAATGAGAAATTCGGTCGAATTTTAACAATTTATTCGTTATATAGTGATACCAAATATCATACCCAATCAGATTTCAATAATAAATATCTTAAGAAAAATGTTAATTTTAAAGAATATTATTTAATAAATCAATTATTAATGAGACAACTGGTTGGTTTGGTTGGAGTTGGTTTTTTCCTTCGAGGAAGGCTAAGCAGCTTTATTTTATTTTTTTTCTACTTTTGTACCCTCTTTGGGATTTTCTTCTTACTTTGTATTTTGAATCTGAAATTTTAATAAATATTGGCTTCACCACGTCTTAAAAAAAAAAAAATAAATCAATTATTAATTTTAAAATATTAATATAATACATCATCCAAAGCTTAAATCTCTTTCTAACAAATATATCAACATAACATATGAATAAAATTAAATAAGTTTTATTAGAGACAAAGTGTTTTTTGAATTTCATGCAAAAAAATACATACAGAGGGTGGACAAAAGTATCCGCACACTTTTTCACTCAATATAAAACTTCAAATAATTTTGCATTAACAATGA